TTGTTAGTTTGTTACTATACGACTTTCACGAATTTGAAATATTCTAAGGGAGCTATACTGAGAAGCTATACAACTATATTTTATAACTTTATACTACTATTCATTAAAAATTATTAAATAATGATACTTTGCACATATACTGTGCACACTAAATAATTTAGCAAGTTACTAAAGTACTAGCAGGGCATTTGAGCATTTTATCTCCATTCCAGCTCAGGGACTTCAATATTTGATCACTTGATCGCATGGGCAGGGGTCACAAAACAGGGGTTATGGCGATATGCCTAAAAAATATACAACAGCCCGGTCAGCCCCTTTGGTAGCGCACCAATGCCCCCCCCCCCGAGAAATCTGCACCCCTCCTGTCAAATGAGCATTGACCCGCCCCTGGAACTGGCACTTTCACATAACAAAAGGCACGAGTTTTAAGTCAATACACTATTTTAATGTTACGATGGCATCACTGATTAAATTGAAGTATCGATATTGGCATCGGAGTCAAACAAAATGATAGTATCGCCGCCCATCCCCAAACGATGGTCAAATTATGCAAACTTTAATTTACTCCCAGTTCTGTAGGTGTATTTCCTCAGTGGACAATCACGTGTGTAGCAGGTCGTGTTTTATTAGGTCTAAAGCCACTCGCGCTACGCGCTCGTGGCTTTAAACCTAATAAAACACTCCCGCTCGTTTATTAAACATTACATTAACCACTTTAGTATTCCTTAAAATAACACCATTCACATGTACGTGCATGTAATCTTTGTGAATTTAAAATCCCATAAAGGGCATCGATATCGTCAGCCTTGGAACCCGTTAATAAAGCCAAGCAGTTTCCCATTTAGACAAAGATGAATAAGCAAGTTAGTCAAATTGGAACAAACACATTTAAAGAGGGGGATAAGTCCCTTCTGCGCATGTGCCCGGCGTTTGTTTACAGGGGACTCCGCCGGAAATGAACCTCTAGTTTCCAGTCCTATAATTGGCCATATACACGCGCGATGTTTATATTCCACTTGAGGTGATGAGGAGTGAATGGAAAATATTGATATAGAATTCGAAAAGGTTTCAACAAATTTGCGACTTTTATGAAACCAAATCCACCTATTAGTAAATTATTGAAACATATAAAACAACAAGAGAACGCGGGAAAATATTACGCCAACAAGGCTGCCCTAAAAGTGCGTTTGTGCGCTATTCAGTGCAGCACGCTGTGATCAAATCGACATGTGCTGTTGTCTGCTGCGATGTCTTTTATATTCAGGTAAATGTTTTGTTTATACTTGGGTTTTAACTGTCGTTAATTTAAATAGTGATTTTGATCAGAAATTCTATGCTGGGATTCTATTGCATTGGATTATGCTGACTATGTATTTAATATTTATTTATCAGATCTGATCGAATATTTCTCCCAGGCAAAGAAAGTCAAGAGATTTGAAACCATAACTACAATTTACTGTTAATATTATTATTATTATTGATGCGCTCTTATTCAAGACGGCTTCATAACTTTATTTTTATTTCTACATTTATTTTACTATATACGTCAAGTGTTTGTAATCTATAATCTATAATCAGATATCTGAATATAAATCTTTATATAGCATTTCACATAGCATAATTGTTGTATAAAATTATCGAACTTTTAAGCTAGATAAATTTTTGTATATGCATGCGAAGTTTTATTTTAGTATTGGAAAACTTTCATACTGTAGGCCAGTGGTGGATCCAGCAAATTTTTTTTTTTTTGGGGGGAAGGGGGTGCTAACCAATGGCAAAACGAGTGCCAAAGGCGCGAGATTTCTATGGGGGTCCGGGGGAAAATTTTTAAAATTTGGGTCTCTGAAATGGCATTTCTAGCATTTTGAGAAAACATTCTGGAAAATTTTTAGATTCTCAAAACATTTAAAAATTCAGAATATTTAATATTGGCTAGTCCGCTATTGTCAACTAGTGATACCCAACTGAATTCCTTAACATAAGTTGGTTAGAATTGGGATAAATGTCATTTTTGCACCTCCCCCCCATGCACCCATGTTGACCAGAACCAGGGGGGGGGGGTGCGCACGTCCCCTAAATCCACCACTGCTGTAGGCTGAAACATAGTAGCATGAGGTATAGTCATTATCATGACAGTTGGCTTGGAACTCTTACGATTTTGTGATATACACCCACAGTACATGAAGTTACACCTCAGGACGTAATAAAGATGACAACTGTATAAACTTTATAGTTACCATATTATTTTTATTAAAAGCAATTCATGGTAGTATCTTTTAGCATTCTGGAGGTGACAATGAGCTTCAATATCACAAGATTTGTCTTGAGATATATTGGAATTTGTCTTGGAATATGTCTTGAGATCTGACAACTCAGAACTGCCATTAATTAAATTATAAAAACTAGCTGACATTGTACATTATATTATTTTATACCATGATATTCAAGTAAGAAGTGTATCCAGCATACAATTGTGAAATCAAATGTTGACTAGGCAACAACCCTTCTATTATTCAATCTGTCATAAATCTCCTATTTCCCCCTCCCCTTCTAAAATAGATGTAAGTCCCCACGGCCCCACCCACCTTTCTAAAACAGAAATGTATTACACCTCCCCCCCCCCCCGCATATCAATAGCTAGAGGATTTATAGCAAGGCAAAGTAGCTATGACATCGTCATGTAGCATTCTGTTTGTATGCTGCATGTCAGACGTTTTGCATGTTTATGCTGTTATTTAAAACAAGAACATCTTCTCGATAATGCCTGACAATTATTGTTTCATGGGGGTTCTTGATAGAGTTCAGTCTTGTCCTCTTAATATGCAATATCACCTTCATTTAGAAAAACACTTATTCCTTCTTGTGTTGGTATGGGTACAAAATGTCTACAGTAGCCCCAGCTATGAAGATTTTTATCTAATTGTTGAACTTGGTGGTAATAACAGTCAGGGACACCGAGAGGTTGTGCGGGGTACAGGGCAAAACTTTCCACGGGTCCCTATGTCATAATTGTAAAACAGGAGAAGCAGTGTGTTACAACATATTGCACTTTATTGCATATTATCCAGCACTGACAGTCAGCTAGCATTTATATTATTGGTTAAGCAATCTTGTATCAAGAAAATTTAAGGGACTTTGTCGCTTTGGGGGGGGGGAGTCCCTTTAATCTGGGGTCCCATCAATCTGGGGTCCCATGCCAAAATCCCCCGCCCCCTCTCAGCGGCACTCATTACAGTCAGCAACCAATTTGAATTTCACCATTAGCTATATCATTCAGTGTTTTCTCCACAGATAGTCTTGAACATTTACATCTTCCACTAAATCCTGTCATGCATAGAAAGGCTCAAAATTAATGAATGCAGTCAGACTATAGGTTTGCCTCTTTCAGAGATCTTCATGCTTCATGCTATTAACCACTTGTCCCAGTAGCAATCTGCCTTTATGGTGTTTGAGAAAGTGTCCTAATGCATGGAAGCAATATAACTTTCAGGTTAATTGCATAATTTACAATAGCATGACAAATGGCAAAGACAAGGCTGCTGCTAGCAATTGGAAAAAAATCAAA